ACCCTTACCAGAGGAAAATGCCCACCTGTGTATGAGCACACACACACTTGGTATGCAAATTTCTGGGCTTGAGGTCAGGTTATAACAATGCTCTCATTTATGGATCTGCGGAAGGTGCGTATGTTTGACTGCATCTTCTGAAAGGGGTTAAATTCTTTAATTAAGAAGTAATTGCGAAGGCATATGTATATTTAATTAAAAAGTCTTAATTGAACTCTGTAAACTGGCATCTTTTGCACTCACAAAAGCAATAAGCTACAGTGTCATCTAGTGGCATAAGGATAAATTTCTTATCTAAACGATACATAGTTTCTGGGCTTACAATGATCTTTGATAGTTTTACTTATTCCACTAAGGATATATTACAAAAATGCTTGCCTATTTAAGCATGAATTATTTTCATTAATATAACATATAATACTGTCAAACCTGAGAAATTCAGGAAAGTCACTGGTAGGCAATAAATTTTCCTTTAACCTGTAACTTCTCTACTCTGGCAGTTCTGCTTTTGAAATTGGGAATGAGAGACCTCTGTGTTGATCCACTAGACATGTATGTTTTCAGTCCTGTGTAACCTCTAAGGATAGCCAATTTTATTAATGATGTCTCTTTTCTATATTGTGATGATTTCATATCTGGGGCTGTGCTGACCCTGAAGAGACTGCTCCTCCTAGATGAATTAATTCCTAGAGAAAGCAAACAACTCTCTTAGGTGTGCATTTCATATATAAACCAACCACGCCAGACCCCATACCCTGTCAAACTACCCAATACAAATTTCAAGTGTAAAAATAAATTACTATATTGTATAAAAAAAATTTCAAGTGTATTAAAACAAATGGAACAAACATTAATGAAATTCATATAAAACCTCAAAAGAACTTGAATAGTCAAAGCTCTCCTGATAAAAAAAAAGGGGGAATATGGTGGGATTATATTTCTAGACTTCACACTACACTGTAAAGCCAAGTAATTAAAACAGCATGATATTGGAACAAAAAACAGATACACAAACCAATTCCATTGAATTGAGAGCCCAGAAATAAACCCACAGATCTAGGGACAGCTAATTTGTGACAAGGAGTAGTAAATATACACTAACTAGAGTAAGGGAGATGTCTTCAGTAAAAGGTGATGGGAAACTGGACTGCTACATGCAAAGACGTGAAACCAGACCACTGTCTCACACATATACAAAGATCAACTCAAAGGAGATCAAATTTGGATGTAAGACTTGAAGCAATACAACACATAGGGGGAAAAAAAACACAGGCAAACATATTTCTTGACATAATTTCAGAGATAGCGTTGCAGTTTCATTCTGAGCAGCAAGGAAAACAAAATAACTTTAAAAAATTGGAACAATATCAAAACTAAAAAGCTATTGAGTGGAGAGAAAATAGTCATACCAAACATCTAATATCAAATCCACAAAGAACTCGTACAACTCAACAAAAGGAAACAAAGTCATCCAATCAAGAGAAGGACAGGAGAGCCAAATACCTCTCCAAAAAGGCCAGATGTCCAACAGGCCGTGACAAAAATGTTCACAATCACTTATCACTAGAAAAAAGCAAATCAAAACCACAATGAGATATGACCACATACCTCAGTAAAAATAACCCAGATTCGCCCTCCCTGGTGGCACAGCACTAAGAAGCTTAACCCAATTCCTCATGAGTTCGATCCCCGCCTGCCCCGGAGGTGACCACATGGCGCAGCAGACCTCTCCTGGCCCGCCTGCTGCTCCCCTCAGCAGTGTACTTTGTAGATCTGCCTGTTCTGCTCCCCACTCTGTCTCTGGTGAATCCTCTCACGCCCCGCATCTCTGGCCTGTACCCCAGTTCTATATGAATAAATAAATCTTAAAAAAACAAAACAAAACAAAAACAACCCAGATCCAAAATCCCAAAAGCCCAGAAACAGGTACAGTGAGTGTGTGAAGAAAAAGGAACTCTCCTACACTGTTGATAGGAATGCCGTTTGGCTCTGCCCCTACAGAAAACAATGTGGAGTTTTCTCTAGAGACTAATAATGGATCTGCCATGCAAATCCAGCAACTCCATTCCTAGGTATCTACCCAAAGAATGCATAAGCACTGATTCAAGAAGAAACCTGCACACCAGCATTGTTTACAATAGCTAAGATACCAAAACAATCTAAGTGCCCCCAAACAGATGAGTAGATAAAGAAGTGGTGGAATATTACTCAGTGGTCAAAAGGATAAATACGTGTTATTTGGAGAAACATGGATGGAGGTGGAAGGGATTATGCTAAGTATAATCAGTCAGAAGGAAAAAGCTAAATATCAGAGCTTTAAAACCACCCCTTGAATGCTGGCTATAGATCTATGGCTTTCATAGGAGAAGGGCCAGGGGTGGGTGGGGAGAGAGAGACTATGGACTGTGGTGGAGTACTATGAATACTTTGGTGGCAGGAGTGCTATGGTGACTATACTTGATGGGGGAAATCCTATAATTTTGAAACATCAGTATGTAAAACAATGGTACTTCAATAGCAATAAATATATTATGTTTAAAAAGTCTTTACTGAGCCCGGGGGGAAACAAACAAAAAACAAAAGCAACCCTTGAAAGTTGACCATGGATCTGAGATATCCAGCAGCAGAGGAAAGGGGGAGACATGAGAATGGAGATTGGGGGAAGAAGAACAGTGGACCACGGTGAAAGATGATGGGCTTTGGTGGTGAGAGTGTTTAGTGGTTATACCTGAGGAGGGAGGAAAACCCTTGACTGGAAAAACACTAACAAGGCTGTAAAACATGGCACCATAAAAAATTTTTTTTTTTTAGTGAGAATGTACTTACAATTGAAGCACAGGATGAAACATTTTTCTGAAATCAAGTTTCAGCGGGCAGCCATATTTATTCCAGTCATATTTCACTCTCTAGAAGAGGAAAAACTGCTTTGGTTAATTTTTATGTTTGACCCATTGACAAAATTATAATTTTCTTACCAAGTTTTTGTGTGGCTCATGCCTCAGATATGACCTAAAAAAAGAAATTTTCATTATTCATCTTTCTTATTTTTAAATTGCAGTACTAAAAACCTAACTTTGCCTGGGCATGGCAGTATTGCAAAAGTCAAATAGAGGCCATAATTACAAAATACTCCAAATATATATGGAGATTTGACTACAGACTTGAAAATAACACATGGGTCAAAGAAGGAATCTTAAGTTTTTAAAATGTAATTAAATGGAAATGAAAAGTCAGCAAAATCAATGCTTAGAGGTAAATTTATAGCAGTGAATTAATCTATTATAAATGATTAACATGAAAAAGAATAAATACTGATTCTAAATTATTGGTACAATACACTAACAGAAAGCTCAACGCTTATGTTTAAAACTATTTCTTACTTTTCAATAATGTAAAACAGATCACGCTGAAGACATCCTTCATTTTTAAATCTATGAAAAGCAAGATAAAATGAAGCTATAGTATCAATCCTTCTATAGTTTCACAAAAATTTAGTAATTTAATGCAGTATTCTCAAACCTGGGAGTATCACTGTATCATCACATAGTGAATTAGAAACTCTGGGATTGATACATTACCAAAGCATTTCTATTTTTAAAAATTAGTTTCTCAGATGTTTTTGAAAATACAAGGAGTTGAAATCTACTGATTTATCTTATATTTTTCAATAGATGTGAGAAGTGTAAGAAAATCTATGAACAGGAAGACCAATTTCTTGGGTTGTTTCATTCCACACACACACACACATATTTTTGTATACACACACACACACACATATATTTTATAAAACCCTATTTCTAATTGGTATAGTTGTGCAGGTAAGGTGATATCTTAAAAATTACATAATCACTAGTTAGAGTTTATGCATAATGAAGGCTATCGTTGTGTTTGTGATAATAGAGGTTTTGGGGGAGCTGTGTGGCTATATAGTACTTGTTTCTACTTCTGCAACCCAGCAGTGACCCTTGTTACCACTGTGTTTAGATTGATTATTGACACTGTATTTAGATAGATTATTGAAAGTCTAGGCTACCTCCCATCTAAAACGCAAATTTTACCCAAACAAACATCTTCCTTCATTGGCAACTCTGATGGTAGAATTAACTGAAACACCGAGGTCACCTTGAGAGACTGTGACAAGTTTAGTGTACACATCCTGAGCCCATCAAGATGTAAACTATTTTAAGCATTCCCCTCATCAGTGTATCCCACTGCTGAGGGTTCAGCAGGGAGACAGGAGAGGTCTGCTGTGCCACGTGGGTCACTCCCTGGCTGGGATCGAACTCCAGCTGCAGGGGCTGACCATGGCTTGATAGCACAAAACATAACCCCTGTGCCATCACCAGGGAGACCTGAAAATTTACGCCTCTTGAGTGTTTTTTTTTTTTTTTTGGCTCATGTGGGGTGAAGGCAGCTGCTGTGTAAGCTGAAATCCAGAGATTGTGAACCTGTGAGCTGTGAGAAAGCTGAGCTACCCACACTGAGCGGCTGTGTGGAGACACAGTGAGGACAGGCAACTCCAGCACCTTACCCACCCCTCCTGAGGCGCCATCTTATAAGTCCACTTGCTTCTGTCACAGTGTGACCACACCCTAACTGCCATCTGACCACAGCTTCTTGAGAGCCCAGTTATCTCACACACCTTAAGAGACAATAATAAATTGTTGGTCAGGGGCGTGACGTTTTGAGGGCAGCAGTAGATATCAGACCATCAGCGCAGACTCAAGAGCAAGGCTGGGCTCAGCCCCTCCCTCCGGTACTTGATCACTTCGTGATACCGGGCAGGCGACATAACATGGTGCCGCTGTCAATGCGAACTAGAGTCACAATAGCACAATGGCTTCACCACAGGGGTTAACTTTTTTTTTTTTAATGCACACAGAACTGGGGTACAAGCCAGAGGTGCAGGGGTGATGAGAGGCTTCTCTAGAGACAGAGTGAGGAGCAGAACAGGCCAACTGACGAAGTACAGCTGAGGGGAGCAGTGGGCGGGTCAGGAGAGGTCTGCCGCGCCCTGGGGTCACCTCTAGGGCGGGGATCGAACTTGCATTGAAGCGGCTGCAGCCAGCTTCACAATGCTGTGTTCTTACCCGTTGCACCACCAGGGAGGGCCCGGGTTCATTTAACTTATTAGATGAAAGCAGGGCTTGGTAATAGGAAACGTTCCATAAATGTCGTTATTACTATTTAAAAGTCAGGTCAAATATACTTGCCCTTTGATCGCAATGTATTTCGTAGTGTCACAGCCAACGGCTATTTGGAATACCTGAAATGAGGTAGTTTAGGCGTAAGTTCAGCTGTTCTGATTCACATCAACTAAACTATTACTAGGCTAGAAGCAATTTAGACTTGAAAGCTTTCGATGGAGAATTTTGTGCTTTGTACCTTTGTCCTCTTTGTTTGATTACCCTTCTCTTTGTCCTTGCTTGGGTTCAACCCTACTGCTGACAAGACCTGCTTTCTTGAGTACCTCAGAGGGCCGATTCAACCTCACGTTTTCCCTAGCACCTCTCCAACGGAGGCTATCAACTCTCCACACGCCTGTCTCAGCTGTCAAGTTTGTGTAAAAGATCCAGCTATGTTTTAATTAAAAAAAAAAACACAACTTTTTTTTATTTCCATTAGTCAAAGTCCTATACTGACTTGACTATTTCTAGCTGACATAAGCACATCTTACTTACTTTTGTCTACCCCTTCCCATCCTGGGTTTCTAAGTGGAATCTGAATACCTGCATTCTGTCTGGAACATGTCATGTGTGTCTACAAAATAAATCTAGGAAACTGAGTACTCCTTACCTGAAGAGGACTTGGCGATCAGAAGGACAGACAACGCTCAGCCAAGCTTAATGCATTTAAACATGTGTTCGTTAAACCGAGACCTTCGAGTGTCTGTTTGAAAGGCTTACTCTACACAAGACTTCATGGATTTTATTTCCTGCTCTCACCTGTTAAGACTGGCTGGTCCTCTCAACAGCCCTACCCACTGGGGCTGTCCTGTGGTCCACTATCGTTACATCTGTTTTCTCAACAATTGTACTCAGAAACATGGACCCACCCTTTTTCTTTACTAGATTTTCCATACAAGGCTAACTGGGCTTCTCAAGTGACTCAGTCAGGAACTTTTGTTGAGTTTCTACGTAATATCCAATATCCCTTTTCTTCCAGTCTGAGACCACTTTTAGAATCAACAACCAATCTAGGACTAAAATAAGAGTTGACCTGCACATAGATGTTGAAAGGAGATGTGGGTACAGTGTGTGGGAAGCAGAAATAAGCTATCCTCTAGGGCGCCTGCTGCCTAGGGTCAACCCGACCCTTTTCTTCCCAGGACTTGTTACTGGTAGCAGTAACAAGCAAAGAAGGATCCCGATGGCCAAGAGCATACTTCGTACAGATATACAGGTTTTGTATTTGTTGAAGAGCTATAGATACTATCTCAACAAAGCCACATTTTCCTGTTACCTAAAAGGCGAGTACATATGTATTTCTTCATTACATTTCAGTGGGTGAGTCAATATGAAATGCCTGCAATGGGCAGAGTAGTGCCTGGACTTTAACGGTCTGTCTTTGGGTGTTCCAGGAAGAAACAGAAGGAAGAAAACAGTAATGACAACAATCACTCTGTGGCAGACTCTCTTTGGGGCACTTTGTATAAAGTTTATCAATTTATACTTGCAACGGGGTAGGTACATAGAGTGACAGAGAGGCTATAACTCACTTGTGTGAGTGAGGCCACTGAGACTTAGAGAGTTTAATAACTTGTGCAACTCAGTACATGGTGGAACTTCTTGTTCCCCTACCCACCAGTAAACCTATCAGATAACTACTGTGGAGACATAGAGTCCAGCTCGGGACATATACAGAGCCATGTTCCACGGACGTCCAGTTAGGCTCTAGCTAAACCTGCTGGCCCCAGTGGGCCATGCCTAAGCCGTTTGAATCTGAGCTCAGGGCAGAGAAGGGTTAATGGTGTCCCCTAATTAATGTATTGATTAGTCAGAAAAAGGAATGGAAGAGCACCACGATATTCAGGAAGGAGTTCTATATTGCATCAGGTTGAGGGTAGCAACTGAAGATAGGAAAAACAGGCCTCGGTTGGGGGAGGATCTCATTAGGGTGCTATTTCTTGCTTTCTCTACAGGTTAAGCTGGTAGCTGGCATGGGAGGCAGAAGAGAGAGTGACGGGCTTGCACCTGCAGGCAATGTCCCGGGGAAGCAGCACTGTTCAACAGCGCTCAGGTGTGGGTCACTCTGCTTCAGTCCAGGGCTCCCCCGGCAGTCCAGGAACTTGCCCTAGGCATAAGTTCCTCAGGCCCGCAGGGCAGGGAGCATGCCTGGCTAATGCCCAGTTCTTCACTGGCTGTTCGTTGTGTCGTGCCTGGGCTGGGCAAAGTCACTATTAGTTCGGCTAAGAAGGAAGGCAGAGTGAGAGTGGAGTTGTCTCTCAGGGTGGAACAAAGATTAAAAGCAGATGGTGATGCTTGCGAATTTGCATTACATTTCCTAACACTTGTGGTTACCCTGCTGCTCATTCATGTTGCTGTGATTTCGTTTCTGCTTCTTCCTGGATTGTCATTTGCATCCGCCCGATTAACTTGTGCCTTCAATAGCCATCGCATGCGTTGTCTTTTCACCTTTCTCTCCCAGTCAAGACTGTTCTCTCTTCCTCTGGCTTGTTTGGTCACTGTGTATCCCACATTCTCTTAAACTAGCTTATGTTTACCCTTGGGGAAGGAACTCTCTTTTGTCAGCTATGCAACTCTCGTTTCTTAGCAAAGACACTAAAATATAATCATGCAACTTTTTGGTTTTGAACGAGGAAATCATTGTTTTTTTTTTAATAAAGGAAGGCAAATATAGACTGGACTGGCAATCTCCCATGACAAACCATATCTAATTCCAGTTCTTATTAATTTCTGTTTTCTTTTATGCAGGTTCAGCTTCAAAAACTAATCATTTTACATTTTTGTATGGGTTTACCTATCTTCCTTTAGACGGTAAGCTCACTGAGGGTAAAAATCTGATCTTCAGTTTCCAAATTAAATGTTTCTCTGTAGTGAAACATTTACAGAACATTGCCGACGAGATAGGGGTGGTATTGTAGGAACATAAAACATGCCATTTATTTACTGTCTGTGTATTACGGAAGGGGATTTGTTTATGTTTTACCCATGTCACTTACCTTTTGGGTTGTTGGACATGTTTTTCCATTTTCGCTAGGTCTGACCTGTACAAGTATAAGTCCTGTGTTCTCATCTCTAGGAAAACCAACACAGATAGGTGGTTATAGGACCGCAAGGGCAACGGCTAACTCTGCCTTCCTCTAGAGCGCGTGACATGTCTGAGTCCTCCATAAGGAAAGTGATGCGGTCGAGGCTGCCTGCTCTTTCTCCCAGCGCAGCTGTATACTGTGCGCAGAACTAAAAGCCACCCCCACTGCATGCATATGGCCAGTAGAGGGTCAGCCATGGGAAAGGGACATTCACCAGTACTTCCACCTGCCCATTTCATTAACACCTTCAGGGGGCTCTACTGTGGACCACTTACATTAAATAAAAAAAAAAAAAAATTAAATTAAAAAAAGTAACTTGGATTGCATATCTAATCCTGGGTAGGTTATTTTAAAAGTGATACTCACTGCAATTTGAAGTAATTATCTACTGCCTCGTAATTTAAATTGTGAGAAAATGTTATTGTCTGAAAAAGAAAATAAAACAGTTTATGTAGAGCAGGAAAATTAGGTATTGGAACAAAGTTTACTTTCAAGAGATTTAAATCTTTTTTAGGTAAAAATGATGCAGTAACACTTTTCCAATTTATCTATTAGAATGAAAGGAAAACTACAGCAAGGCACATAACAGAGTTTGAGACAAAAAAAGAAAAAAGAAAAATACTGACAAAGTCAGAGAGACAAATACCTATAGAGGAAAACCAGTCAGGTTGACATCAGACTTCTCTAAAGAATCACAACGAACAAGAAGAGAATGGAAGAATATATTAAAAAACCCTAAGACAAAAAAAAAATGTCAGCTGAAAATACTTTATCCTGCAAAGTTGTTCATCCTCTATGAGGGAAAGTAAGGACCTTTCTGACAGACAAAATCTTCAGAACTTCATGTCTACTAAACCTGCACGCCAAGAAATATTACAAGAAGCCTTGAAATCTAAACCAACAAAGGAACGAACAGAGAGAAATGATCAAGGTGCTGAACAGAACCTCAAAACAATGAACAAAATGAAAATGAAAGACTTCCACAGTCACCCTAAACATTAATGAGCTAAACCCATCAATAAAAAGACAAAGAGGAACATGCTAGGTTAGAAAACAAAATCCTCCTGGAAACATACCTGAGCGGTAAAGTGAACATAGGCTGTAAGAAAATGGTTGGTCGACAATTTTACAAGCAAACAGTAACCCAAAAGAAGACACAGGCAGATACAGCAGAAATCCAGAGGATAGAGATTACTATGAACATCACTGTGCAAACAAATTCAATAATCTAGATGAGATAGACAACTTCATAGAACTATACAATCATCCAAAACTGAATAAAGAAAAACAGAAAATCTAAACAAACAAATGAAAAACAGCAAAGTTGAAACGGTAATCAAAACCCTCCCCTAAAATAAAAGCCCCAGACCTGATGGTTTCACAAATGATTTCTACCAAATACTCAGAGATGATCTGGTGCCTATCCTACAAAGTTATGTGAAGCTAATATTACACAAATACCAAAACAAAAAACAGCACACACACAAATTACAGACCGATTTCCCTAATGAACACAGACACAAAAATATTCAAAAAAGTTTTAGCCAACGCATTCAACACAGCATCAAAAGTGTATTTCAACATGACTGAGATGGATTTACTCCAGCTATTCAAGTCTAGTTTCACATCCAAAAATCAATTAGGTGATTCAAACATCAATAAAAATAAAAATAAAACCATATGGGATAAAAGGAACATACCATAACATAATGAAAGCCATATATGACAAACCTACAGCTAACATAATTCTTAACAGTATAAAGCTAAAAGACTTTCCTTTGAGGTCTGGGACAAGACAAGGATATCCACTCTTACCACTGCCTTTCCACGCTTTATTAAAAGTCCTAGCTAGAGCAATTAGGCAAGAGAAAGACATACACGGAATTCAACAGGTAAAGTATAAATAATTATTTGCAGGTGATATGATAATATATAGTCAATACCCTAAAACCACATGGAAAAACTAATGAAAACAATAAGCCAATTTAGTAAAGTACAAGTCACAAAATCAAAAAACAAAGAGCAATAGCCTTTCTATATACAAACAATCAGTCTGAAGAGGAAGAAATTAAGATAATCATCCTATTCACAATTGTAGTTCCCCTCCACCCCCATTAATTCCTGGAATAAACTTAACAAAGGTGGTGACAGAACTATACAAAGAAAATTATAAAACATTGTTAAAGGAAATAGAAGAAGCCAAAGAATGGAAAGACAGTCTCTGCTCATGAATTGGAACAATTCATATTACCAAAATGGCCACCCACCAAAAGAAATTTACAGATTGAATGCAATTCCAATAAAAACCTCAATGTATAGGGCCCTTCCTGGTGGTGCAATGGGTTAAAGCACAGCACTAAGAAGCTAAAGCCACATCCCCATGAGTTCGATCCCTGCCTGCCCTGGAGGTGACCATAGGGCTCGGCAGACCTCTCCTGACCCACCCGCTGCTCCCCTAAGCAGTGTGCTTCATCCATCTGCCTGTTCTGCTCCCTGCTTTGTCTCTGGTGAAGCCCCTGAGCCTCTGGCCTGTATCCCAGTTCTGTATGCACAAATAAATAAATCTTAAAAAAAAATCTCAATGTATTATAAGTAAAAAAAAATTAACAGGCAACTTTAATCAAAGGTGCTGCAGAGGAAGGGGAGGGAGGGGGTCAAAACAGGGGAGAGAAGAGCACAAGGGACCATGGTGATGGTGCAGGGGTGATTTGGTGGTAGTGGGAATCTTATGAGGACTACACCTGCAAGGAGAAGACATGCACTGCACAAAAAGGAAGAATGATGTAAAATATATACAAAATAAAATAATAAAAAACCTCAATGGCATTCCTTAAAGAATAGAACAAACTACTGAAGTTCACATGGAATCACAAAAAAGAAACCACAAATAGCCAAACTCACTTAAATGAAGTAGGAAGAAAGGAGGTATATTATGCTATTATATGTTAAAGTATATTAAAAAGCTATAATAATAAAACATCATGGTATTGGGGGGAAAACAGATAACAGGACAGTGGGATAATATTAAAAACCCAGAAATAAAGTTACATATATATATATGGTCAATTAATCTATGACAAAGGAGCTAATAATATACACTAGAATAAGAAAATCTCTTCAATAAATGGTGCTGGGGAAATAAACTGCCATATGCAAAAGAATGAAGCTAGGTTACAGCTTCATACCACATACAAACTCAAATTGGATAAAACACTTGACTGTAAGATCTGAAATATAAAATATATGGAAGAAAAGAGGGAAAAGCATTGCACGACACACGGAAATATCGTTGAGGATTCATCTTCAGAAGCAAAGGAAGTAAAGGAGAAGGTAAACACCTGGGATTACACAAACAGAAAAAAGCTCTGTAGAACAGAAGAGACAATAACCAAAATGAAGAGACAATCCACACATTGGGAGAAAATGTTTGCATCCCGTATATGCAGTCAGGGACTGATGTCAAAGATCTATGCAGAGTTTACACAACTCAGCAAAAACAAAGCAAACGATCCCAGTCAAAAATCGGCAGAAGCTCTAAAAAGGTACTTCTCCAGAGAAGAAATACACGAGCTGGCAACTCAAACTTGTGAGAATGATCCATATTAAAGAACAAAAACCAAACATACAAACAAAAAAACTGGCAATAACAAATATTGGCGAGGATATGGAGAAGAAGGGACTCTTACATGACAGGTGGGAGTGCAAACATGCCCACCCCCAAGGGGAAGCTCTGTGGAGGACCCTCAAATACTCAAAATGGGGCTTCCAAGTGACCCAGCAAGATTCCACATCTAGGAATCTACCCAAAAGACACAAAAACACTAATTAGAAAGGGAGCCTGTCTTCCTATGTTATAGCAGCACTATGTTCAATAACTAAGATGTGTGCATGGTTTCACATACAGATAATATAGAGAAACCAAAAAAAAAAAAAATCAAGAAAAAGACAAAACTAGCAAGCTGGTCATAGCTCTGAGGTGTAGCACAGAGGAGGGGGTGAGAGGTGGGCAAACAGGAAAGGGATGAACACAGGGGAATATGTTGATAGTCCATAGGTGATATAGTGGTGGGAGAAACTGTGGGGCTAATGATGATGTAAGAAAATTTAAAAAATCAATCAAAATTTAAAATAGCTAAGATATGGAAACAACCTATGTGCCCCCAAACAGATGAACAGATCAAGGAGATGTTGTATAGATCCACAATGGAATGCTCTTCAGTGATCAACAAAGATAAGCTCATGCTATCTGCAGAAACATGGATGGAGCTGGGAAGAGATTATGTTAAGCAAAAGAAGGCAGAAGGAAAAAAAGAAAAATACCAGATGGCTTTGCATATAGGTGGAAAATAGGGTACCCAAAGAAGGGTCAGGAAAGGGCCCTCCCTGGTGGCGCAGCGGGCTAAAGCACAGCACTAAGAAGCTGAAGCCACTTCAGCATGAGTTCGATCCCTGCCTGCCCCGGAGGTGACCACAGGGCGCGGCAGACCTCCCCTGACCCGCCCGCTGCTCCCCTCAGCAGTGGACTTCGTCCATCTGCCTGCTCTGCTCCCCACTCTGTCTCTGGTGAGTCATCACCCCTCTGACCTGTAACCCAGTGCATGTGTGCATAAACAAATAAATCTTTAAAAAATGAAAATATTACTATACTTTTACATTTACTAAAAATTAAATGAAGACATTAAAAAAAATTAACTTACCATGGTTTTAGTGCAATGCCCAAAGCCAATATCATAATAAATCTGATCTGTCCTCTCTAATATTTTTGGGCCATATGTTTCCACAATAATATATAAACCAACATTTTCTGGATATACTATTTCAGCCCAAATTGACAGCTTGTCTCCCTTGTCCAAAAAGTAGAAAGTATGAGAAATATTACTTTCAAATGCCACATAGGGACATTTTTCTTTTGTCTTGGTAGTTGCACTTTGCACTTCAAGCTTTAAGGGATACTCCTGAGGTTGTACTGTTCCATTTTGAAAAACGTATATGAGATATGCTTGGCCAGACATGTCCAAAGACACTAATGACTTTGTCATACTGCTCGTCCACAGATGTAGCTTGACTGCGTTTTTCATATGGACTTTGAAATAAAACATTATATTGTTTTCCATTTTTACCACAACATTTCCATAATAGTCTGTAAAAGAAAGATACAACCTCGTGTTAACCACAGTGAGCTATGAAGAACTACTGTCATGGAATGTGTATCACCTGCCAAATACTGTTTTAAGCATTTTCTATATATTCCCTTCCCTAACCAACATGGCAGGCCGTGTTCTAGAATTGAAGACCAAGGGTTGGAAAGGTTCAATGATTTCCTCATGTATTTAACTATACAATAATGATTATAGGTCACATTGTGTCCTTTCTGAAAAGACATGCTGAAGTTTTAACTCCTTGAATTATTCTAGAACATGAACTTATTTGGACATAGGATAACTGCAGAAGTAAGTAATTAAGATGATGTCAACCTGGAGCAGAGTAGGCCCTGGTGTCCTGATAATAAAATGCTTGCGAAGATTCAGAGAAAATGCAGCCTAACAACAACACTATGCAGACGATACCAGGTTTGCCAGCAAGCCTCTGGTAGCTAGGGGAAGGCAAGAGAAGCTTCCCCTTCAGGTTTGAAAGGGACGATAGCATTGTGAATACCTGGAATGTGAACTTCTGGTGTCTACAACTGTAAGACAGGAAATGTCTATTGTTTTAAGCCACACAACTTGTGGCAATTTGTTGAGAGAGACTTAGAAAACTAATACAAAACAACATCACCTCCCACACTGAAAAGTGCATGTATAAGTTACTTACTGTGTGCTAATTAACCAAAATGACCTTCTGACAAAGAGTTTGAGTTTCCCATGTTGCTATATGAGATTATAGTCAACATTAGTAGAAAGAAAAACTACCTATTTTTATATGACTAAAAAGTATTCCTTTGTTAAAACCTATGTTTCAAATTGTTACACATCATAAATTTCTACTATGAATCTGGAATAAATGCAGAATAAGGATGTCTCACCTATAAAAACATCATGAATAGTGCTGTCATGTGATAATGCTGATAGGTTCCCTAATCCTGGGGATGTTTGCAAAAGTCCAGTATCTGTGAGATTGTTGTAACTATAGTAGACTCTATGTTTGTCCCACAGTATCAATTCTGGAATTGCTGAGTAGGTAAAATGTGGCGTTAAAGAACTTTTAACGTTGATATTTAATGTAAAGTCTTTGCATATCAAGTGTGTTGTATCTTCATTATATATCACCAGAATCATTTGTTTGAGGTTTGTACATGTAGAATCACAGTACTCTAGTAACAAGGCAACTTCCAAAGGGTGTCCTGTATACTCCACATTGTGTATAATCAGAGTAGATGATGGTGCTATATGTAGATGGCTTTTTAGCTCATCAGTGGTCACCACTTTGACAAATATAAGAAAACTGTATCCAAGATAAAGTTCATGTTTTGTCCAGATGGCCATGTTGCTTCTTTTTTCTTTAACCTGGGACAAAATAAAAAATAATTAGATCACACCTATGGGGAGAAATTCTACATTGTGAGGAAACAAATAAGGATTTATAATAATCACATGCCATTAATTTGAAAAATAAAATATATGATAGACATTGAAAAAGCTAGATAATATTGCCTCCTTCATAGAATTGTTCTGAAGAATAAATGCATTTTTTTACATATTAAAAATTTGTCTTTGATTTTAGGAACAGTGCTAACAGTCTTCTAATTTATACCCACTTTTAAAATGAAACAAAGTAAACTGGCTTGATTTTAATAATTTCTGAATAATACTTTGGGTATAAACGTATGTAATTTGGAAATATATTACATATAGCCATAGCTATATAGTGTTATAGTTATTTTTTCTTTTATGTATTGTTTCTATCTGTGCAAATATTAATCTTGATTCCCCTTTTGAATCCTCAAAGAACATCAGCCTTCTCTTTCCTTATATATTTAGCCATTCTGATCAGGAGTGTCCTTTGACCTGAGTGTTTAATAACAGTAATCGAGAAGAATAGTAAAACATGAAATTAAAGAGATAACTTAACACCTTACACATCAAAAGTATCATTTCATGTACACAGCCCCTTAGAGATGAAGACTACCCTGAGATCGTTATGTCTAAAATTTGACCTTTTTCTCTTTCCCAAGTAATTATAATTCCTAGAGATTATTGGTAATCAAAGAAAGAAACTGTTTTAGGTAAAAAGTAATTTTACCAACTGAAAATTCAATTTAAAATCTTAGAGCTTACATTGCTATAAATAACTGTAAAACAATTCTTGAAGTAGAAATGAATTAGAATGAAAACAATGATTCTTTCACAGGAAATACCCACAGTTATTCTTTTCTCGGCAGAGGTGTGGGAAGAGGAATATATCATAAACATGATAAATGGGAACTCCAAGGAGCCCTAGTCATGAGTTTTCACCCACCCACGGTCTTTTTATTTTACAGATCTTCACTAAGCATTTGAGTGTAGTCAAACAAAAGTCTTGTGGCAAGGCAGGAGAACTGAGAGACTCTCCTTGAAATATCCAAGACCTCTACGAAATATCAAGTATTAGCCCTCCTAAGATGTGAGGGTTTAGGAAGCGAGGCAAAAGGTTGAGAGAACTCCATCTGCAATCTGTTTTCTCAGTTACCGTAGACTGGAAAGGAGACATGATTGCTGAGAGAAATTCTCCCTCTGGCAAGAATTATCCCCAGAAAGCAAAGTGGTAATAAAGGAGGAACATATACCAACATATGTCGGCATATTTGTGCATTGAAATACTGTCTCTAAAGGAGCAGGTTCAGCTAATTCATCTTTCAAACTTTCCCCCATGACAACACCATAAATTTTTCGGCAAGGTTGTTAATTGGACACACTCGCGCGCACACACCGGAAAGATTCCAGGACCTCAGTCTTGCACACACTGCATGTAACAGAGCCAGCCCTCGCTCTTCAAAGAACAGCTACTCTGTTTTTGAAATTCTTGTTGTTCTTTTTATTCTCTGTAAATTAGAAGCAAATACTGTTCACCTGTCATCTTTCTGGTGTTCAGCTTCTGTTGGAATGCCAAAACAAGCCTCCTAAGCAATGGCTGAAACACATGCTTCCAAGACCCACACTAGAAATAAAAATGTGGTTTGTTTATGGTCTGCCCACATGACTGACTGCCTTCCCCAGGTCACATCCTCATGACTTAAGTGTCATGCTGTGGAAAGAGTTGATATTATTGAGGATACACAATCCAATTACTTAATCCTGTATGCATATTTTCTTCCTTTGAATTCCTCTAGTAAGTATACCAGTAACATGAAAAAAAATCTATTGTATTACTCTTCTCAGAGAACTGGGTTTTTTTGTTTATTGAGTTTCTCTGCAGTTTTTCCATTTTCTATGCCATTAATTTGCCCAAAGCCTTTCTTTTTTGATGTTTGTATTTTTAACCCTTCTTGATTGTTTGGCCATTTTCTTTCTTGAGCTTATTTTTTTGTTTTACTTCTTTTTTTCTAGTTTCTTACAGTGATTTGAGACATTACTTCTTTCCTAGTATAAGGGACTGATACAGTAAATTTCCCTTTAAGTTCTGCTTTAGTATCATCCCACCAATTTTGATATGTTCAGTTCATTTTCTTTGTGTTCAACTGATTTGTTTACATTTGTCTTGACTCAAATTATTTCAAAATGTGTTTGTTTCCTGATATGTGGATATCTTTTTGTTATGATATTAAATTTAATTATGTTGTCAGATAACACCCTCTACTTGATGTGACAACTTTTAAACACATTAAGACTCAATTTATGGGCCAGAAAATGTTTTATTTTGGTCATAAGCCTATGTGCATTTGAAAAGAATATGGATTTGAAGTTGGGTCACATAGTCTATAAATCCCAATTGATTTAGAAGGGTGATAGTGTTGTTCAAGTCAACAGCCTTACTAATTTTCTATTTGTCCTGTTAGTAACACAATTTTTTCTATTTTCCCCATGTTTCACATTTTACTTCATGCATTTTAAAATTATGCCATTAGATTCATAAACATTTATGATTTTTATCTGTTCTTGGAATTAATTCAATTGTTGCTGTAGGTGATGCTATTTATTCCTTATAATATTCTTTGTTCTAAGTAAATTTAATATTACCTTAGCTGCTTTCTGATTTTACTTAGTATTTTATTAGGTTTTTTCATACGATGTATTTTTATTTCAATTGAAGATACCTTGAAAGTTATTTCATTGAAATTCTTTGTCATTGTTTACTGTAGAAAAACAAATATTATAACCTCTATTTTTTTTAGCGCATCTTGATCTGAATTAGAAATTCCTTTTATAAGTATTTAATGCTATGCATTTTCTCCACTGCTTTCACAGGAATGTATAAAATTGATTGTTACATTTAATTTTTATTCAGTTGGAAGATTTTCTATTGTCCCTTAAGATATCTTATTTTACACATGAATTATTTAGAGATGTGTGGGTTAATCTCTAAGAACCTGAGTATTTTTAAATAACACCTGTTTTGTTAAGAGACCATATTTTATATGATTTGCTTTCTTTTAAAATTGTCAAGGTTTGTTTATCACTTACCCATATGGTATATTTTGGTAAGTGTTCCACCAACACTTGCCAAGAATGTGTTTTGGGGTAGAATGTTCTAGAAGTATCGGTTCGGTTCAGTTGGTTGTTGAGTTCTTCCATGTTCTTACCTATTTTCTGTTAGTCTGTCTTCATTTGTAATCATGGATTTATCCATTTCTTATTTCAATTCTATCAGTTTTGATGATAGTTTTTTTTTTTTAAAGATTTATTTATTTGTACATACAGAACTGGGGTACAGGCCAGAGGCTCAGGGGAGGCGAGAGGCTTCACCAGAGACAGAGTGGGGAGCAGAACAGGCAGATCGACGAAGTACACTGCTGAGGGGAGCAGCGGGCGGGTCAGGAGAGGTCTGCCACGCCCTGTGGTCACCTCTGGGGCAGGTGGGAATAGAACTCAGGCTGAAGTGGCTTTAGCTTCTTAGTGCTGTGCTTTAACCCGCTGCACCACCAGGGAGGGCCAATGATGATAGTTTTAATGTTCTATTTTTAGTTCTTTCTGTCTAAAATGATCGCTAATTCCCCTTAAGCTATTCTCTGTTCAAAGGGTTAGTTGGGTGTGTTTTCGAATCAATGGGAAAGTATTTCTGGATTAAGTATTGACATCTTTATGTCTGAAAACTTTTCTCATGGCTTTTCCATTTGGAATTTTGGTCAGATATGTTGGATCGTCTCGTTTCCAGGCTTCCCTTTACCCCTTGTTAGCCTTTATTCTTGTTTTGCTTTTCACTTCTTTTTCTTAGGCTTTCATCTTGTTTCATTTCATCCTATATGAATTTTAGTGCATTAGTTACTGTTGTGGTATCCAATTCATTTAAGCCATCTGCTGAATTTTACATTTCAAGTATTAGTTTCATTTAAGATTGTCAATAAAATTTAATATTTGAACATATATAATTTTTAAGCATTGTCCACATCTGAACAAAATGTAATTATATATGAAAGATTTATGACAAAAAACAGAAGTCTTTGTGATGACACACAGATTACAATGCGGTTTACTTTGATGATACTTATGGTCTCTCTGAGCCACTCACCTTTCTAGGATTACACTTCGTCTTATAGAAATGACTTCCTTGCTTTTCAGTTTTACTAACTGCTTTGATAGCCTTCTTTATTCTTACATTTTCATTTATTTAAACATGTTAAACATGTTTTACTTTCTTTCAATTCTGATACATAATGATCTTGGAGGGATGATTCTGCTATTTGTTCTTTCTGTTGACTTCCTCGGTAGCTTGTATTTTCATGTGTTTTGCCATTTTGGAATATGATTCACTTAGAAAGTTATTTGTACAGGATTTTCAAAGTATGACTGGAAGGTATTTTTCTCTAGAAAGGATTTGTGTTTGTTATATGCAGCTAGACTTAATGTCGTTTTGAAGCAGTAAAAGGTACTGTGAATTTGAGTCCCAAAGAGCTGGTAGGTTAACTTGTGGTCATGAATTCTAAAGACACTTTTTTCTCTCTTCTTAAGAGTTAAAACTGAGATAGACTTAATTATGTTGGAAAATACTGAAGGCTCTTCTGGTATGTAAAAAATTATCCCAAGCACTAGAGGCGTAAAGCACATGAACTTAGGGCAGCTGAGATTTTGGAGTTTATGCCTCTGGACGAATGTTCTAGAACTCCTGCTTCCTTTGGTGATTGTCCGTATTGCCATATGTCTAAAAAGATTTCCATTCCATGCAGCTTTCCAAGATTTTTCAGTGAGATGGTTTCGGAATATCTTACTCACTCTATTGTCAGAAATGAAAGCATTAATTCATTTTTGAGAGCACAGACTTTGTTTAAGCAAAACAATTTGGGAGTTTTTTTATTCATGTCAAAGTACACCAAAACTCTCTTAATAAGACTTTATGACCCATTTTATCCACTTTATTCTCAGTTGGAGGTTCATTGCTTAACTGAGATCGCTGAGCAGTTAATTTAGGAAGATAAAGCTATTTACAATTATAAAAAATAAATCTACAATAAGCTCTATTCTCTAACGTATCACTGATAAAATGGTACAGTAAATGTGTAATATGAATATCTTTTACTAACCTTGAGTAAATAGTTAATCCAACACCATCTTCTTGATGCGATGCCAATAATGCCATTATTAGGAAGATTATTACTACTTCCTAGTCTTGTAAATGCATAAGAACTTTTTAGGAAAAGAATATTAGTTATTAGAAAAAATATGCCATCCTCTGAGAGGCTCACATCAGACACACTGTGCCTCTCTACATCAGTCAACATATTTGGAGGCACTCTGATTCTGGTCCAAGAGCGGAATGAATCATTTGTTTGAAAGGTCTCCATATCAGCTACCACAACAGCTGAAGAAAGGAAACAAGCATCCCAGTCTGCCATTAACTGACTACCATGTGGTGAACAGACTGGTAAAAACCCAGAAACTTCCGGTATTGTCAACAAAGGAAAGGTAAGCTGAAAATTGGAGTCTGCAATAAAGCAATCTTGTAAAGCCACTTGTTTGCCTTTAATCTCTAGGAGTGTATCATCTGTTGTCATCGGGATGGTAATATACCAGGTCCTGAGACAAGAAAACAGAAAGGATAAGAATAAAACGATCTTTTCTTTTTCCTCTCATCCATCTTTCACATTAAATGCTGACATGTACTGTTTCAAAATGTTTCTTTTTAAAGAAACCTGGGTAGAGCAAATCCAGGGATACCTGAATTGCTACCACTTCCTCATTCTTTTGTCAAAGGAAAACAATCACCATCTGAGCTCCAGATTCTGATTGTGTTAAAATGGCACTGAATGACACTCTTAGCCCTTCAAGTGAATGAATGTCTCTGTAGCACTTAGACTTCATTGGCTTGGTCAGGTTAAGTTGTTGAAGATCCCTGGATAGATTGATCCTTGTTTGGAATACTCCACCTAATTAACTTTTATTTCTCTTTAATAATACCAATCTGACCTCTTTGGGGAACTCTTCCCTGATGACCTTTCCTGCAAGTTCTACTTGGTGCATACTCTATGTATTTCACTGCACCCTGGGCTCACCTCCCTTGAAACATCTATTTGTTGACTTATCTCCCCGTGAACTGTAAGGTCATTGAGAACAGAAATTGTATCATTTAGCTATAAGTGCCTGCCACACACATAGGTGCTCCATGTACTAAGAGAGACCTTCCAAACCAACTGATAAGCCACCAACAGGTGGTGTGTATGTATGTTCTGCGAGCAATTATTACATCATGCTACGGTCCCTCACTGTTCCAGTCGGGAAACTATACCTTGAGCTAGTCACATGTCTTGCTGTCATTCATGATGGGGGCTAGATTGAGATCACTGCCATACCTAGAAGGGACTATATAACAATGTTATTCATAATAAATAATAAAATTGCAACTGAGGAGGCTGAGTGGCATTTTTTGAGCTAGTAAATAACTCAATCACAACTTCTTTGTGAATCATGAAACTAGTTATTTGGAAATAACAGAGATATTTTATGAAATTCCATCAGGATTCTAAAATCTTTTACTTTAGGTCTCTGGTCTTTATTTCATTAAATTGTAAAGATGAGCTCCATGTTTGAAATTAAAATTTGATTACCCAGGATCCATTATCGTATGTGCAAAATAGTATTTGTTCTTCAGAATCGTATGAATGATAGGTTTCTGTCCCAAAGAGGCCAACAGCTTGCTCAATAGAGTGGAATACTGTAAAAAAAAAAATTCTCCTTTTACTTTTTCTGTAGCCAGAACTATTCTGAAATTATGGTGATATACTTAGCTTATCATTTAATTAAGATATTATCTACATTTATAAATTTTCAAGATTCATATTTATTCACCAGACCTTTCTCCCCAAATTATCAAAAATACTATGTATAGTCAGAATATTGAATGAACTGGAAATACTGAATGAATTGAGACTGTTTTTTTTTTAATAGTTACCTTAGCTTTGATCTTAGTGACTATAAAATGGAGTTTTAAAAATTACTGTTATTTAAAAAAATTTATCTTTAAAAATTATTTATTATGCATACAAGAACTTGGGATAGGTCAGAGGGGAGTGAGAGGAGTCATTTGAAACAGAGCGGGGAGCAGAACAGGCAGATGGACTGAAACACACTGCTGAGGGGAGCAGCGGGCCGGTCAGGAGAGGTCTGCCGCACCCTTTGGGTCACTCTGGGCAGGGATTGAACTCATGCTGCAGGGGCTTTAGCTTCTTAGTGCTGCGCTTTAACCCGCTGCGCCACCAGGGAGGGCCACATGTTTAATGATTTTGATAAAGAAATATGTTTCCCTGTAACTACTTAATAAACAATTGATAATTTTGTTTCTGAAAATCTTTTTTACTATTCAGAATTATAAATACAACTACCCCATACCTGTGAGAAAGAAAAGCAATGAAGCATTCTTAGTGTAACAAAGAGTAATATCAACACAAAAATATTAACTACAATATAATATGTACATTATATATATATATACATATATATATGTGTATATATATATGTATATATATATAAAATATGATAGTCCATGATGATAGAAAGGAAAGCGAGGCCAAAAAATTATATATATATATATATATGTATATATATATATATCCATGATGATAGAAAGGAAAGCGAGGCCAAAAAATGGTAACATCACGAAGGGACAGAATCTTCGAGTCATGGTTTCCCTTACAGGTACTGGAGGTAGGTGTCTGAAGGGAGCAGCCATATCTGGGATGGAGCTGGGTGCGTGAGGACGGGTGTCTTGTTAGGAAGGAAAGACCAAAACCATCAGAAAGAGTAAGAAAAACAGAAACAGTAAGGCAGGAACTGTGCTAGTCTGCCAGGAGGGATAATCCCTCCTCCTCCACGGAGTCCTGCCAGCTCTGCCAGGGGCCCTGCCCAGCATGAAGCGTGCACCCTTGTTAGGAGTTAGCCTGTTCAACACCAGCATCCTGGAGACGCCGACTGATTTCACCAGAGAGAGCTTCCGGCTGCAGCAGCTTGCCTCTCGGAGGAGGGGTGCAGGCCTTGCAGGGATATCACTTTTGGCCTTATCTTCAGGGGTCTCCTGCAGAGGTTCAAAAAGCCAGGGAAACCACTCATCACTTCCCTCCGTGAGATCTTCAAGCTGGCTCCCAGCTTGTAGAACCAGAACTGGTAGTTTCTGCAGTGAGGAGGGCCTGCAAGCAAAGGTCAGCCCGATCGCTGCTGGGCAGTGTGGAGAGTCGGAAGCAGTATCCATCTCCCCCCAGCATGCCCCACCGGCTTGCTACTGTCTGAGAGTGCAGGAATTCTGACAGAAAAACACAACACAAGGCAACCTGAACCCACAAGGGAACACGACACCCGAGGAAAGAACAACGCTCCAGAACCCAACTGCAAAGATAGGGACCGTCTTAACTTGACATAAGCTAGAAAGATGAAATTTGCCACTATAAAGAAATGAAAGGAACTGGATTAAAGTGCAGGAAAAATGAATATGATAAATACAATGAATGAACAGAATACCAGTTGAACATTTAAACACGAAAATATGTTTTTGTCTTGTAGTCGCCAAGGGTTGTATCAATGCAGGAGGGTTGTATCAATGGTCCTATATCTAGAGTAGTCTTGGTATGTGTAGGGATCAACCTGTCATCATCTGGCTGCACAGACTATCCTTCTTCTCTTTTAGTATGTTATTGTCATCCTACTGTTCTCGATTATGTTTACGTGTCTATCACCTTGGTCAAGGCCTGGTGTTTTTTTTTTTTTTCTTTCTTTCCTTTTTCTCATAGACCTAGGACAGGTCTAGTGACTCTATTAGCATTCGCTTGTCTTGGAAAGTCTATATTACTCTGTCACATTTAAATAATTCTGTAGGGTAGAATGTTCTTGCCTGACCATTTTTTTTTTTTTAAAGATTTATTTATTTGTGCATACAGAACTGGGGTACAGGCCAGAGGCTCAGGGGCGGCGGGAGGCTTCACCAGAGACAGAGTGGGGAGCAGAACAGGCAGATCTACGAAGTACACTGCTGAGGGGAGCAGCGGGCAGGCCAGGAGAGGTCTGGCTCGCCATGTGGTCTCCTCCGGGGCAGGCGGCAGGCGGGAATCGAACTCATGCGGAAGTGGCTTCAGATTCTCAGTGCTGTGCTTTAACCCGCTGCGCCACCAGGGAGGGCCCGCCTGACCATTTTTATTCTCTATTTTTAAATTCTGAATAATGTGTCATTCTACTCTTTTCTAGCCTGTAGAGTTTTTGCTGAGAAGTCTGACAACAGCATCTGGGATGTATTTGTGTCTTGTTTGTACACAACGTGGGCACCATAGTCACCCTTAAAATTTTGTTTTGGCCCTCCCTGGTGGCGCAGCGGGTTAAAGCACTGCACTGAGAATCTAAAGCCGCTTCCGCATGAGTTCGATTCCCGCCTGCCCCGGAGGTGACCACATGGCGTGGCAGACCTCTCCTGACCCGCCCTCTGCTCCCCTCAGCAGTGTACTTCGTCGATCTGCCTGTTCTGCTCCCCACTCTGTCTCTGGTGAAGCCTCTCACCCTCCGCATCTCTGGCCTGTACCCCAGTTCTGTATGAATAAATAAATAAATCTTTAAAAAAAAAATTTTGTCTTTACCATTAACTGTTGACATCAAAAGCAAAAGCAACAAAAGAAAAAATAAGCAAGTGAAAGTACATCAAACTGAAAAGCTTCTGCACAGGAAAAAAAAAAAAGAAAAAAAGGAAAACATCAACAAAATGAAAAAGCAAACTAGGAGATGGAAGAAAATATTTGAAATTGTATATATGATAAGGGGTTAATGTTCAAAATATTAAAAAAATGCTCCTATAATTCAATAACAAAACCATGAACAATTTGAAAAAAAGAAGACACACGGATGGATGCTAAGTACCTAGAAGTTGCTCAACATTACTAAACACTGGGGACATGCAAATCAAAACCACAGTGAGTTGTCACCTCACACCTGTGAGGATGAATATTAACTAAATAGGCAAGAATTTGGAGCTGGCAAAGATGTAGCAAAGGGAATGCAGGTACACGGTGGTTGGAAATGGAAACTGTGAGCAACAGTGTGGGGTTCCTTAAAATTTTAAGTAGAATTACCACATATGATCCACAATTCCACTTCTGGCTTTAATTTGAAATAAAACCACTAACTAGAAAACTTCTGTTATCTTTGTAGCATTATCTGTAATAGCCAGCATGTCTCCATTGATAGGTGATTGGATTAAAAATGTAGCAAGTACATGGCCAGCAGACGCCTGTCTCCTCCAGCCGCTCCCCTCAGCAATGTACTTGGTCAACCTGTCTATTTTGCTCCCCACTCTGTCTCTGGTGAGTCCTCTTACCCCTGCACCTCTGGCCTGTACCCCAGTTCTGTGTGCATAAATAAATAAATCTAAAAATGCAGCAAGTATATATAATGTGACATTATTCAGACATTCTCAGCAGCACTGATGGAGGTGAGGGTGTTAAGTGAAGTACATTAGGCAGAAAAAGTGAATTACTAAATAATTTCTCTTCTATGGGGAATCCCCAGTTACAACATAACAGTTACAAGATAAATAAGTCCTGGGACTTACTGTATAACAAGGTGACCATAGTTAAAAATACTGTATCATATATTTTACAGTTGCTGAGAGTAATTTTTTTTCTTATCTTTTTATTTATTTATTTATTTACTTATTTATTTATTTATAATTATTACAAAAGTTTATTTTTACATCATTTTGCACATTTTTTTTCCATCTCGATTGTAATCCCCGCGGGTTTCCCATCACCAAATCACCCCTGTGCCACCACCATAGTCCCATGCATTTCCCTCCCTTCCCCCCCTCCCCGTTTTTGATCCCATTCCCCACTCCACCTCCACAGAATGTCTCTGCTATATGGTTGTTCATTATTTTTGTTATTTTCGCTGAGAGAGTAATTTTTAAAAGTTCTCATGATGAGAAGAAAAAAGTATATGCGATGCTGGATTATTGTGGTGATCATTTCACAATATATACATAAAGCACTGTGTGTACACTTGAAACCAATATGAAGTTATATGCCAAGTATATCTCTAGAAAAATGTTAAAAAGTAAGAATTGGCCCTCCCTCGTGGCACAGCTGGTTAAAGCACAGCACCAAGAAGCTAAAGCCACTTCAGCATGAGTTTGATCCTCACCCCGGAGGTGACCCACAGGGCACAGCAGACCTCTCCTGACCCGCCCGCTGCTCCCCTCAGCAGTGGACTTCAGTCGGCCTGTGCTGCTCCTCACTCTGTCTCTGGTGAAGCCTCTCGCCGCCCCTGCACCTCTGGCCTGCACCCCAGTTCTGTATGCATAAATAAATAAATCTTTAAAATAAAAAAGTAAGAATTATGCTCTTTGTAATAGAGAACTATAGAAAAATGTCAAGGAAATGATATGACTATATATAAACAAGGAGATTAAAGAGAAAAAACATGGCTAAATGATGCTAGAATGTGCATCTATTCACTAAAATGATTAAAAATTAATAGTAATGCTTGTTGCGTTTAACTAACATTAATTTATTTTATTCCCTCTAAAGTTGATTGCCAAATAAAACAATTGATTGGTTGTCATTCTGATTTATTAGTCCACCTCTGAATTTCATTACCAAGAGTCATAGCACAAAACAAAAAAAGTCTTACAAATCTTGACTCCTTAGACATTGACAATCTTGTGATAAACTAAGAGTCAGCTCATTGCCTATTATGCATTTCTCTTCAATACATTTAAAATGTAATAGAAAACAGAATTTAATATTTGAAATGGTAAATGTTCAACAATTAAAAGACAGGATTTATTTTTCCATTGTTTTGAATTGTTAGGAAATTCACTAGTCTCTAAGCGATAAAAATTCAATAAGGAACTGGATAGATTTTGAGAGGTGTCTTTGAGTATGTAGTTTGAGTACACTAATGGTCAGCCCCTTAATGAATAATGAAGTTCACAGCAAATACAGAGAATCTCAGTAAGAATTCTAGAGAAAGACTTTAAGCATCGAGCCAAATTCAATGCCTGTTTGTAATCAAATCACTATTTGGCTAAACTAAATTTTAATAATCAGACGGGGTGATTTGGTGGAGGGTTGGTGGAAATCTGCACATTTGGGGAAAAAGGACAAGCATCATATTATTATCTGTTATAATAATGACATTTCCACCCACCATTGAAGGTTCATCTGCAGTCCACTGCAATTCATCTTGGTCTGCGTTTTCTGGATCATATACCCATATAATGATAATCTACAAAACAAAATGTTCGCACTTTACATTTTGACAAATTTCCTTTAAATTTGTGGCAAAACATGTCTTACCTTAAAACATTTTTATTTTCTCATTTTTTTAAAGTCAAGCAATATGTGTTGTTTCTAACAAGTGAAGTCATTCAAAGGCTATGAGTTATACACCCAAAGTAGCTACTGTTAAAGCTTCCTATGCACGTTCATATCTTTCTATACATTCATAAATACATAGCAACTTCCTTTCTCTTCACACAATCATTTTTTTTACAAAAATGAGAACACTATAAATGCTGTTTGCCACTTGATACACCCCAGTACTTTCAGTAGATGTAGATCTAATTCTTTTCTTCTTGAGCAATCTATTCACATAGGTAAAGTATGTGTGTGTGTGTTTATACATATATGTCATATATATACATATATATCACACACACATATATATACATACATATATATATTTATGATATAGTGAAAAGTGTTTCTCCCAGCTTGTACTTCATCACTTAGCTCTCATGAGCTCACTGTTACCCCACAAGCAATGCCTATTTGTAAGTTCCTGTTTATATTTTTGTGCATGACCAGTAAAGATAATTTCCTTTTTAAATAAATGCTGTAGAGCTCACCACAGTTTTGAACTGTGTATCTTAGAAGTCTTTATATGTTCTCTTTTAAGTTTTCAGTTGCATATTCTAAATTATGGAGGAAACACAATGTAGCCAGTGACCTACTGGTAAATGTGTTTTCAGCCCCTTGCCACTATAACCAATACTATCGTGAGCAATTTTGTACACATATCATTCTTACTTTGAAGTTTTCTAAAATTGGCATTGCCATAGGCAGCAAAGTGGCCACTTTAAAAATGCTGATACAGGCCCTCCTTAGTGGCACAGCGGGTTAAAGCGCAGCACTGAGAAGCTAAAGCCGCTTCCGCACGAGTTCGACCCCCGCTTGCCCCGGAGGTGACCACAGGGCGAGGCAGACCTCTCCTGACCGCCCGTTGCTCCCCTCAGCAGTGAGCTTCGTCGATCTGCCTGTTCTGCTCCCCGCTCTGTCTCTGGGGAAGCCTCTCGCCGCCCCTGAGCCTCTGGCCTGGACCCCAGTTCTGTATGCACAAATAAATATATCTTTAAAAAAAAATGCTGATGCTTTCCATCCACGAACAGGGGACCTCTTTCCGTTTGTGTGTTCCTCTGATGTAATGGTGTCTTAAAGTTTTCACTGTTCTGATACTACCTCCTTTGTTTAATTTATTGCCAGATATTTAATTTTTTCCGATGCAATAGTAAAATAGTGTAGTTTTCTTTATTTCCTTATCTTCTGGCTCACTGTTTGCATAAAGGTACACAACCCATTTTTGCTAATGGGTTTTGTGGTCTACCACCTCACAGTCCTGATCTGGTCTACAGTATTTGAATTTAGTTCTCTATGTAGAGTATGTCATTTGCAAACAGATAATGTTTTACCTCTTCCTTACTTGGATATGTTTCATAGCTTTCTTTTGCTTTGTTTCTCTAGCAAGGGCTTCCAATGCTAGATTGAAAAGCAGTGATGAAAGTGAGTATCTTTGTCTTGCCCTGATCTAAAGAGGAAAAACTTTCAGCAGATCACCACTGAGCTTGCCGTAAGCTGTGAATTTGTCACATCTGCCTTTATTTGTTTGAATGAGCTGTATGATACACCCCATCTCTTCCCCTCTGGGATACCTATCTTATCTTGAGTTCTCTAAGGTAGTCAGCTAGATCTTGAAGTTTTTCTTCATTCTCCCCCCTTTGCTTTCTTCATTCTTCTTCCATCAGGGTCCTTTGAGCATGTTTACCTTCAAGGCTCCCGTCTCAATCATCTAGTTGTTCTACTCCGCTTCCATAACTTTCTCTAAAAATTTTAACTTATCTAGTGAGCTCTTTACATATTATTTTCTTATTGACAGCTTTAATTTCTATTTTTTGTTCATTAACTTTATTTTTCAGTTCATTCATTTTCTGAGTTTCCTTGCCCCCCTTGATCAGTTTTTCTGCATTTCCTACTATCACTTTGATTTTCTGCATTACAATAATTTTAAACTCTGATAGGAAGATAAAAATCTTCCATGTCTCTGTGATTGGATTCAGGGGAGTTCTCTCTTGTTATGCTTGATGCCTCAAGTTGCCACGTAGGGTCCCTAGTCTGTCACAGGGCTTCTGCCAGCTGGAGCGTTGTTATCTGTCTAGCGTGAGGCTAGACAGTATCTCCCCTGCTAGCCCCCTGGGTGGTAATGGCAGGTAACCTTCTAGCAGGTGAGGTTTCTGGGAACTCTGGCTCCCTCCCAGACATGGGTGTGAAGCCGCTCTGGGGCAGGCTGGGTCTCTAGGAAGTTTTTGAGGCCTCTGCTGTTACAGGCAGGGCTAGGCTGCTGCTTCAGTTAAGTCTTTCAGTTTCATTTCCAGTTAAGTCTTACAGTGTTCATTTCTTAACTTCTATGTGTTGCCTAACTTGTGCTCAGCATAACTCCCATTTCAAGTCACGAGTTATGCAATTTTCTCAACTGCATCTACTCTTCTGTTTAACTTGTTACTGAATTTTCATTTTTAGGTGTCTATTCTTTGAAGACATTTGAACAGGCTACTATTCAATTTCTGAATTTCTGTATCATTCAAAATAATCCGCACCTTTTTGTATCTATCGCTTCTCTTACCTTTATTACAAGTGGGGATTTAATTATCTTTGAGATGATTTTCCAGTTTTGAATAGCATGGACTTTCTCCACTTTATACTTTTTGCTTTGAGGTTATATGTGAGATTTGTTTTCTCTAAGAATAATGTAGACGCTTAGTTATTAAGGCAGGTTTTGTGGTTGCCTGTCTGAGCTCCATGAGTTTCACTGTTCGCATTTCTGTTGATTACTTGGCTCTAGTTCTCTGATCTCCCGCGCTATTAAACTGGGAAACCATCTGACACTTCATTGAGGTAACTGTCTATTTATGACTTCCAAACGATGTATCTTTTGTTTTTTGCAATGGCTCTTAGCCAATGAGTGCAGCTTTACCAGTCCCTACCTTACATCCCTTTTATACATGCTAGCTTCACATAGAGCCTCATTCTGACTCCTCACTCCCTGCACTGCTTGGAGACTTCGGTATCTGACCCCACATACACATTTAAACAACACACCTTGTTATCTGCTAGGACTGATAGTCTGTGCTAAAACCTCACCACTCTATTCAGTCTCACCACTCTAACTTTGATTCTCTTAATCATTTCTGAGAGTGAGAAAATGCCTTTATTTCCTTTTAATTTATATACATACATACGCACGTGTGTTAACATAAAAGTCTGTCCTAAAATTATACCCCTTTTTTTTTGTAATTTGTGTTCTACTTTTAGAAGTTGTCCTTTGCTCTTATCTTAAAATTCCTTACTGCCTGATAAGGAATTATTTTTACTTTATTGTATGGTTATAGCCTTTAACAACAATTCTATAATATGAATTTAATGTGAGATAAGAGTATAAGTGGGCTCATTAAGCTACTTAATCCAATTTAGAAAGCTGTATTTTTTATTGATATCTTTTCAGTAAATCAGTTTTAAAAAAATTAACCCGTAGAATTAATTTTTATATGCAATCACATTTTAATTTTTAAAATTTCAAATATAGCTCTCGATCATACTATTAATCATTCTCTAAGCCAGTGTTTTCAAACCTTTGATCAAGGCTCCTTGTAGCCTTAAAAATTATTTGAAATCCCATGGAATTTTTGTTTTATGTGTGTTAGATCTATTAAAATTTACTATGCAGCAAATTTTAAACAAAGCAGTTAGAAATATTTATGATTTTAAAAACCGTGATGGTGATGTTAACATAAAAAACAACATTTTAAGGTAAAATATTTTCCAAAACAAAAAAACTTAGAATGACTTTACATTTCTTGATACCAAATCTATTTAATATCTTGTTTAGTAGAATAAAGCTGGATTGCCATCTCTGTGATTACATTCACGTTTGGTGAAAACATACGGGAAAATGTCAACTTCACACAGACATGAGCTTGGAGAAGGACAGTCTCATGGACATCCTGGAAAGGGCTTGTGGTCACACCTTGGGTACTTCTCTAAGCAAATTTTGTTGAAAAATTAGTTTGGGAAAGTTCTTCTTTTGGTAACTATGCATGAGAAGAGCAATAGGGTACATAAAGCTTAGAAAATGTTTTACCTGCGTTGAATTGTGAAGGAAGTTTCTGTTGGGAAAAACAAGTCACATGTAAACAGCATGCTAAATATTAGTTTGAATATTGTTTTTAATATACATGCTTCTTACTCTCGGTCTTCTGTAAAAGTAGCCTATTATAAATACATAAGCAGGTAAAAGCTTAAGAAAACCTACAATGTCTACATCTACATAGATTTATGGATTCTATGTGTCAGCATGAAAGTCTTAGGGACTTGAAGACACAAACTAATAACACTGAAAAGTCACAGAGCCAGTTCCATGGTCAATTTTCCTTAAAATTTTGACATGATCATTCAACACAAAAAATTATATATTATTTACATGTTGTAATATAAATTGATGAGTATATCACTCACCTTCATTATATCATGTTACATATATGATTACATGTAACATTATATATATTGATTATATTATATTATAAATTGATTTTATATACATAACATATATCATGTTAAATACAAATTGATGAATTTATCACTCACCTTCATTTTTTGAAAAGAGCATTTTTAAAAAGCTTTTTTTCATTTTAAAGATACCTGTATGTATTTTCTACGATATACTCTGTAAAAGTCAATGCCTTCGGAATACATTCCACTTTGCTGGTTGCTATACAGTGCATCTACAAACACAAGGATGTTCTTTTGGAACCAGTAAATGTGTATGCAGGGGCTTCCGAGGACACATAAGAAGCACACCATTTCATCTATTCAGTTTAATCAGAAAGCTACTGGTAGGAAGCTACTATGTTCTGACTATGAATCTTGAAAGTAAACTGTGCCCAGACTTCATCAAGTACTGAGCTGATCAAAAAGATCTCCAGCTCCAGGTTTGACATGTTTTGCCTGTATTATACTGCATTATGTTTTTCCCTGTGTCATGGGCAACGCGGGTCTGTGAGTGGGCTCCAGTGTCTCTAGGGAGGCCAACTTGGAGGCAAAGTAGGAAAGATTATATCAGAAAGGTTTCAACAGCAGTACCAGAAAGATACTGAGCGCAGCCTTGTAGAAAGACAGCATCAGTTGGGGGAAAGCGACACCTGACTCGCACAGAGGCAGTATTAGCGGCATTCTCTTAGGTCTTTTTTATAACTTGCTTTGCTTCCTTGGTTGGTAGGTGGACTGAAGTAGAGATGAGAAGAGGCCCAAGGGGAGACATCTGGACTGAGCTACAATTAAGGGAAGGGCGAATGACAGTGATTCTAGCAATAGCGGAGTTTGTTGTAACGAGACATTTGTCATGAAAAACAGGTTATAATCGGGAGCCCCAAATCCTTCTTCATGTGGACTTCTGTCTTGCCCACTGCTTCTCCTGGCAGTGTTTCAACACATTTTACTTTCCCTGTTTCCCACTCTGTCTCGGGTGAGTTCTTTCATTTCTGCCTCTCCAGCCTACATCCCAGTTCTTTCCCACCACAATGGAGGGATCATATCTGGATTGGGTAGTCCGAGGTCTCTCTTTTACCAGTTCTTGAGGCTCAGCATGTCTTAGAGAAATCAGGTACAAATGCTTTCTTGGAAGATTCTCTTTAATGATTTTCAGTCTCTCTCAGAGGAGAATATATTAACCCACAGAAATGGTTTTATTTTCCAATAAAGGAATACCAGCAACTTTCATTCCCAAATTTCCCCTTGTTTATGTCTCAACTAGTTCAGAACTTCAGAGGGCAGATTGGTGATTAGCATCTCTGAAACTTCCAACAAGGATACAAGTCCGCCAGTTTCATGAGTAGCAGAGACCCACTGCTTCATTCCTGATGAGACTCCAGGGAGGTAACAATGATTTGGAGAGGAGTAGCTAAATGTGTGCCCCTGGGGACTTGCTGAAATCTAGTGATCAGCACATTCAATCTTGAAATTGAAGATGAAATGCAGAGCCATGTGATATAAAGGGACCATCATGTGAAACTGAACATAAAACTATCGCCCACAGTCATCCTGGAGGAAAGACATGCGCATTCTAGCAAGTTCTGCCCGCACCATATGCTGGTCCCCAAGGAGTCACTATATCCCATGGAAGGTGGGACTGTAGAGTTAGCGCCACATAAGTCACATGAAATTAACAATTACATCAAGGAATAGTGGAGACACTATTAGAAAGTTAGAGAAATAGAAAGAAATACATACATTACAGTCATCTGCAGATCGGGGCCCTATAACACAATTCTCTGTATCTTAAAGAGTACTCAGGACAGTGATTCAAAAAATATATTCTACATCATTGACACTGTAAACACTTTCCAATTTCATTACTTGAATGATTTTTATAATGCAGTTAATTATTTTTCTTATGTTGGTTTTCTCCTCTTAGGATTATTCATTCATACTCAAATTTAAAATGGGTTGAAGAGCTATAAAAACAGCTTTTTTAGAATATAATGGAAATAAAAGATTCCTATAACCTAAAAGCCAGAGCTGAATCCCAAAGATATCTTTTAAGAGCTGTTTGCTTTTGTCCAAATTATTTTTTCCTATTCAGACTTACATTTCCTTATTTATAAAATACTTATATTTACACTGTTACTATGAAAATAACCAAATTGTGAACATGTCAATGGAGTGATTTTTCAAATAGTAGTTGCTATTATTATCTATATTGTATATTCTTCAATATCAGCTTGGGAGTATATTTGAGAATATCTTGATTGGTAAATGAAAACATGGAAATGGTAATGTTAATCATCTGTTTGTGGTTAATTCTTTTCAAATATTAGTTATCTTTATATTCAATATTGCACTACTTACATAACTTTATAATACCACAGAAAGCAAATGTAAGAGTTGTCTATAGATAAGTAGCGCTCTTCTTCTACATCCTAAAAGAAAATGCCAAAAAATAAGATATATGAACTTTAAAGTAAATAATATTTGAATATGTATAGAAGTCACAGAAGTACTAAGTTATTTATCTAATAATGGTAGATGTATACATTCCAAAATGGAATTAATAAATATGCATGTAATACCAGTTAAGCTAGTCTCGATAACTAAGAATGTACCATCAGAATGACAAATTTAGATGGCTTGAAGCCTTACTTCATATCTATTTCCTTTCTACTTGAGCCAAGTTTCTGGTTTAGAACTTGCAAATACCCTAGAATTTCTTGGATAAGAGGAGTGTATTTTGTCCTAATAAGGCAATTTTTTTTTGTACAAAGGAAAACTGAGTTTTTCTAGATAATCTTCCGTACTGAATTCATTTCTCAGGTAGGGATGATTTTACTTGCCTGGCGATGTTACTTGGTTGTGCTTTAGAAAGCATTTCAAAAGTCACATTACAACTTTAGAAGTTGTAAGATTTGAAGATATTTTCCATAGGTGACAAAGATATTCTCAAATACACAGGCATCTGTCTATATATGTGTGTGTGTACACACACACACACATAGATTTACATGCTTTCATATTCACATGGCTTTTCAACATGCATCAAAAGGTAAAAAGTGAAAAGTATCCTTTACTCCTTCAGGAATTGTGTTCCTAAAATTGGTAACGACTCATAAACTCACAAAGACAAGTTCAACTATTTTTCACTCTATTAGAATCGAAAAATGAGCTAATATTCATCTCATCTGCACTCTGCTGCACCACTCTGTTTCTGAAAATAAAGAAGATTACAAAAAGACAATGGAGTCAAAGGAGTCTATGTAGCAGCGGCTTCCAGCACACTTGTGTGGGGCCACTGGGTGGGTGGCCAGTACTTTACTAGCTAAAAATTAGCAGTGCTTTTACCTGTTTTACTCCTTTTATTTTTTGTAAACTAGAGAGCATTCAACATCACTCTCATTCATTTGCATTGGCTGATTATTTCTTGAATTGAAGAAAATACAGTGGAGGTTAAAAAAAAAAAAGTACTAGAAATGCTCAAATGCTCTTAACCTGACTATTGTCATAGGAGTATGTGGTGGGAAACCCGCTCGGCTGGGAAAACATTATCATTTAAATGGTCAGGGTGGGCTTTAATATACTTATTAATAAAATGAATAAGGAAAAATCATGTATGTTCTGATAACATGATTTGCTGTGATACCTAGCTAAAAAGTAACGATATTGACGACAATTTTTAAAGTAAATTTGTCTACAGTAACAATTTATACCAGTTAAATAGTTTAAATTGAGAGTTCCAAAAGAAAAAAGAAATTGAAACAGGAATGATTATTCAAGATTTAATAAATTCTGAAAATCAACTTACTGGGCCTGTAACAATCGGTTTTACAATCTGAATACCAGGAGAAGAACAACGCAGCTCTGTCTTAGGTGACCTTAAAAAATCACAGGAAAGCAGCAGTAAGTACAGATTACATGAAAGTAGTAGAACCCCAACCCCCACTGCTTTTTAGCTTTCAAAACTGCTTTCAGCTAATAAAAATTAAACAAATTTAATAAAAATTAAAAATAACATTATTTTACTTCTGTTTTATATTCTAGGTTATTTTTCTTTCCTTTCACACCTATTTAAATTTTAATCTTGAATCTAAAATTCCATGCTATATGAATGCTTTTCTTACATGTAAATATACCCATATATTGACATTGATTTGCAAAAGTCTTACCTTTTATTTTTTACAGAACAAGTTCCTGGTACACTCCACTCAGAAAATGATGATCCTTCATACTCTAACTTAATCTACATAGAGAAGGTAAAATAGTTCAAAAAGATATTTCTCCCTTGTTTCATTTTATTGTTCAGATAAAGAATATAATTTCCCAGGGCTTCATTACTAAAATAAAGAATAACTAAAATGTGGTTCCTTTGAAACTGGACAAAGTACTCCAATAAAGGAATAGTAACATCTCCAGGACACTACTTGGACAATGCATCCAAATATGACATTGAAACATTGACCAAGGAAGGCAATTAAGAGTATTTGGGCCTCAGTCTCAGAAAGATAGCATCTTTGGAGAAAAGTGAAAGGAGAGGAAACTCTTTGAGTGAAAATGTTGAAGAGGGAAGAGAGTCATGAGGGGGAAATTTTAAATATTTAACACAGAATAAAACACTTCAGCAAGACGCTATTGATTAAGGAAACTGTATTTTGCTACACTGGGGTGTGTACCTTCAACTGAAATCTTCAAGCTCACATAAGCTGCCTATCTGTCCGTAACAGTTGTAGAAATAAGCAGTATTTATTTACACAAACAACTATAAGCGAATAGAAAACAAAACCCAGAACATTTCGATTAAAAAAAAATAGACTTAACAATCCAACATCAAAGCAAAAGAAAACTGCAACATAATATGTCAAACTGAATTAAATACCCTCAAACAAATACTTGGTGTTAGGGAAAAAAAGAATCTTAATCTATAAATTCACAAACTAGGAACAGAAATAGACCACAAAGAGAGAGCGAGAAAGTGAGTTGACGGACTAGCATATGAAATAGATGGTTATAAAAAAAAAACACAGTAAATATAAATACATAGTTATGCAATTAAAATAACACACATCCTGGCTTGTCTAAAGGGTTCCAGCTCATACTACATGTCACAGTATAACTATTAATGACACTCTTTCTTTATCAGTAGCTTAGATAATATAGTCTATATTCATCCTATCTCTATTGTAACATTGTTTTGTGAATATTAAATCACAATATACGTGAAATAACTTCTTATTTTTGCAATATACCTATTTATGGCAGATTGAGATTTGATCTGTATTAGAAATATAAATGGGAAGGAAGTGAAAATAAAAAAATAAAAGAATGACACAGTGCCATACAACTCAATATAACTAGCTCTGTTCTCTGCAGTAATCTAAAGAGAAAAAAGAGAAAAATTAAACTTAACTATAGTTTAAAATATCGAGCACTTACAGTACTTCTGGTATTAAAAATGCGGAAGTTTTGGCTGTTGCTGGAGTACCTGTGACAGAAGTTAAAATATGAATATTAAAATAATTTCTCCTCCAAATAAAAAGGCGTCTTTAGGCAAAGCATGCCTGGGCCATCAAGAATTTTACATTTCTGCTCGAAAAACTTCTAGGAAAGTTTAATCAGGATGAAAACGGGGTACTGTGTCCTGTACATGGCACGGTATGTTTGGGTTTGCTGTCTCTGAAGACACTATAAGAAGAAGTAGATGTTTTTGCATTATTTTTGCTTTTAGGATGAAACATGGTTGAAGTTACATGGCTGTAACTTCATTTATAAACTGAGTTAAAATGAATAGACTGAAACTTTTAAAAAGCTATTTGCAATGTGGAAAAGCACGTTTATGTTAGTATTGTTCATTATCATCACTCTGTTATCCAGGGGACTGCAAGTTCTCTCTACATGATCTAAGGGAGTGCAGTCCAAGAGCAATAAAATGTGAGATGTTCCTGTAATAAAAAATTTCCTAAAAGCTACATCGAATGAGCAAAAAACGAGTGACATTGATTTAATAACATACTTTATTTGATATGTAACCTATGAAAATATTTATTAAAGAGCTATTTTATATGTTTTGGCACTATGTCTTTGAAATACAGGGTAATTACACTTGTAAATTCTCAACTTGGACTAGCCACATTTCAAGTATTCAAAAGTCATATGAGGTCAGTAAGTATCATCAACTAAAGCTTAAAATTTATTTCCTCCATGTTTACGTTAGACATCTAATTGTCATTGTAATTGCTCTATTTATAAAACTTTAAATCAGAGGAAATTTCTTTTTCTCTCTCTCTGGTGTGTGTGTATGAGATTATGGAATTGCTGGTATATCATAATATAAGTCCTGTACATAATTCCTATTTAAAAATAAGAATTTTTAACAGGTGTCAGTTACTAGTATTCTAAAACATATTTTCTGTAATACAGATAAAATAGGAAAACATTTATGTGATTTGTTTATTCTTATGAGAATATATTCATCAAAACCTTTTTTTTTCCCCAGTAAGAATGAACTACCTCTTATTTCTTCTATCTAATGAATATAAGATCTCTTTTATTATAGAAGGAAAGGTAAAAATCTCAGGAGAGAAAAACACAAGTGGCAGATATTATATTGCAATTTACAAAGCTAAAATATGCAATTAATTTGTTTTTCCACCACATGCTGTCATCGATTTCTAAATCTGTTGGGGTTGGTGTCAGGCTATGGAGCAAAGAGGAGCTAAAAGAGACATTTATTGTTTGTCACAGCCAGAACACATTTCCTTAATTATGCCATCTACTTAATGTTTTATTGTTGGAAATGAACGTAGAAGACACACAGGTATGGGGTGTACAGATGAACCATATACTCTTACTAGTTTTTAATGAAGAGAGCAGTGCAACTTCACACTTGGATTACAAGCGTATGACAAGATTTAATGGGGAAAAAAGCATGATCTACATTAGAGGTTTTTCTTGCTTTTTTGAAGTTGATTTCTAGTTCGGTACCTCCGTAATCAGTGTATGCTTGGTCGGATGCCAGGCTTCATGAACTCTGTGACCTCTCTTTCCCCTTCTCCCCTTATATTAACCTCAAATCTGCAGTCCTACTTCTAAGAGGTGTATCTTTAGATCTTCTGTCCAATTGGGTTTTAGTTCCTCTTTTTCAAACCTGTGCTTCTCATTTGTTTCTTTATGCATTAACTAAGTCCTCCTATGCAATACAGTGTGAGTGGTGATGGTGGCATCTGTCTCTCATTCCAGACTTTTAAGGGAATAATGTTAATGTTTCCCCATTTAGGATATTAGTTGCTCTGTGTGCTCTGTAAATATTCTTTATTGTGTTCAAGAAAGTGTTCTTGCATTTCTAATTTACTACATTTTAAATTATGAATTTATATGAAATGTTGTCATCCATTGAAACCATTGTATGACTTTTTTTTTCATCTGTGTGGTGAGTTTCATTTATAAAATTTTCTAGTAAATTCATCTTTTATACATAGGTAAACCCACTGTGGACATGGTTTAATAACTCTTTATATTCCATTGAATTTCATTTGCAAAATTTTTCTTCAGGTTTTTCTTTTCCATAATGTCATAGTTTGGGTTTGATTGCACTATTACATTATCTTTATTGAATGAGCTGGAGAGAATCTTTTTCATTTCTTTGGATGAGCTGGTATAAGATTGGGATTATTTGTTCTTTGAAAATTATAACAGAACTCATAAAACCCTTGAGGCTGGTATTTTTGGGGGTCTTAAAATCTATTGCTTCAAATTACTTAATGAATATAAAACTAAGTTCTTTATTTTCTTGAATTATTTTTGGTAAGCCACAAAAGGTAGAGAGATACAATGTTCATTGGATAGATGGATTTAATTTTCATAAAGATGTCACGTCTTCCCAAAGTGTCCCATTCTATAGCCTCATTATGTTCCATTCAAAACCCTAACAGTTTTTCATGGTACTTGATGTTATTTTTAAAAAGTTGCCACATAATTCAGAATGCAATAGTTCTCTCTTATTAGTAGGGGATACATTCCAAGATCCCCACTGAATACCTGAAACTACAGATTGTATCAAACATTTATACATAGTATATTTTTCCCTATACATAAAGTTTCATTTATAAACTAGCACTGTAGGAACGCACTCTTTGAATACTGTTTTAGAGACTATAGACATTAACAATAATAACTAATAATGAAATAGAACAATTTATAGTAATATATTAGAAGTTATGTGGATATGGTCTAATTCTCTCAAAAATGTCTTGATCATGGATAACAAACTGTGGAGAAGGGAAGACTAATGAATTCCCTTATCTTTTTATTCTTTGCCTTTCTATAATTATGGTTCCTTTTCATCATTGTTATTTAATTGTGATCACATCAATAGATGCAGAGAAAGCACTTGGTACAATTCAACATCCATTTAGGATGAAAACCCTTGAAAAACTGGGGATAAATTGAACATATCTTAATATAACAAAAGCCATAAATTATAATCCCACAGCAAGTATTTTTCTAAAAGGTGAAAAGTCAAAATTTGTTCCACTAAGACCTGATACAAGACAAAGATTTCCATTCTCACCATTATTAACCAACACAGTATTAGAAGTCCTAGTTAGAGCAGTTAGGTAAGAGAATTTGGATTCCTTTATAGAAGTGAAGCTATTATTATTTGCCGATGATATGATAATATACAGAGAGCCCCAAAGACTCCACTTAAAAACTCATTAAAATAATAATAACAAATCAGTGAAAATGATTTATTATTAAATCACTTTATTATTATTATTATTAATAATTCAGTGAGAACGGAGAATATCAAAATAATTCAGAATCAACAGTGTAAAGCAAAAAGAACCCTCTTACACTGTCCGTGGGAATGTAGACCAGTCAGCTCCCATAGAAAGAAGTCTGGAGATGCCTCAAAAGACTGTAAATAAATCTTCCATATGACCCCCACAATTCACTCCTAGGATTTCCCCCAAAGAACACAAAATACTAATTTGAAAGGAAACCTGAACTCCTATGCTTACGGTAGCACTATTTACAATAGCCAAGGTATGGAACAACTCAAATCCACCTCTCCAACACACACCAACACACACCCACACACACCCACACACACCCACACACACTCACACCACAATGGACTATTACTTAGCCGTTAAAAAGATTCATTCATGCCCCAACACGGATAAAACTAGCAGATTATACTAAGTGAAGTGAGGCAGAAGGAAAAAGATAATTATTGGATGGTTTCACTTATATGTGGGATCCAGACGAACCAAACCACGGATCAGACAAATAAAAACTTTAAAATGATTCTTGAAAGTTGACCTTAGATTTGAGGCATCAAGGGATGGAGGAGGAGGAGAAGGGGAGGGGGGAAGGAGAGCATAATGCATTACAGTGGAGGACAATGGCTGCTTGTGGGGGGGAAGATGTACAGTATCATTAACAAAAAATTAAAATTAGAGTAATAATTCAGGTCGCAACATTTTTCTCTAATGTTTTTTTCCTCGTCCATTATCTGTATTTTATCTATGTTGAAAATCAAAGATATTTTTCTGATTCCTGAACAAAAATCAAACTTGAAATTGAGGATTTCTCAACATTTGCATTCCCCAAATCAACTCGCTCTAACACAGGAATTAAATTTCCAACCTTTGCAGCGTTCACATTGCTCACTCTCTCCCACCCTGTAGCTGCGGGTGCCTTAACCAGCAAAGTGGCCCCCCAGCCCACCCCAGTCTCTGGAGATGACTTTGTGGCTTGCGTTTATTCCTCTCTGGCAAAGTAAGGGTGCAACTGGAGAAGCATTCATGGGGCGACTGTCCAGAGGACAGGCACGTGAAGGGGCACGCCCCGACTGCGGGGCTGTAAGCGCCACTGCAAGACCCTCCTTTCCCTCCGTCATCCCCGGAGA